GTGTGTGTGTGTGTGTGTGTGTGTGTGTGTGTGTGTGTGTGTGTGTGAGAAGAAACAATTGGAAATTAAGACCTCTGTATTAGTGTGGTGATTTTTATTTTGACTTTGCTTGAATTGCAAAGTAATTACATCCACTCTTAGGAAATGATTGAACAGTAGGTGCTGGAGCACAGGGGGTATGTTTGATTACGATTACTAGGGTTGCACTGATCCGATGTTATTGGCCGATACCGAGCGCCAGTCTAATACCAGTGTTTGATTAATAAGCTGTATGCCTCAAAAGGTACAAAGACACAAACGTTTCCCTGGCCTGACTTTCATGGAGCAGGTAAAGAAAGTTGTGCTGTCCTGCTTCCCTCAGAAATGTGTCAAAAATCAAGTCATTTCCATCTCATGCTGATTTTGATTCATGCTTTTATTTTCATCTCATTCAGACTATTGCAACTCTCTCTCTACCTGCCTCAGTCAAAAATCAATCTCACATCTCCAGCGTGTTCAAAATGCTGCAGCTAGAATTCAAACTGGCACTAGAGACCACGTTAGAGACCGCACTAGAGACCACGTTAGAGACCGCACTAGAGACCACGTTAGAGACCACGTTAGAGACCACGTTAGAGACCACAGTCTTAGCATATCTGCACTGGCTACCAGTAGGATTCAGAATTAATTTTAAGATTTTACTGATTGTTTCTAAAGCACAGAGAGACCTAGCCCCTGGCTATATTGCTGATCTTTTGACTCTTTATGAGCCAGAACGCAGCCTTGAGTCCTCAGGCCAGACTCGAGATTAAAGGCGACGGTGCTTTCTCCACGAGAGTGCAACCAAATACACTTTCATAAACCGGCTTTTATGCAAATCACTTCCTGGTTATGCAAACCACTACTGCTTTTCGGTTTCATGGTGAAAAAATGAATAAGCTGTACACGCAAAGTCAGATGTATGGTTGTAAAATTACAAACATTTATTCCAGCACAAATCTGCAGATTATAAAAGTATGTCTCTACGGGAGACGGACAGAAACGGTGTGCTTTCACAGCTACACCAAACATTAAGTTATTAACTTTAATTGTATGCTGTCGGGTGTTGAGCCAAAGCCTGCTGTGTAATTTAGAGCCTGTAACTGATTGACAGGGTGAATGAAATGACTCATTATTACTCCACACTTGATCTTAATCTTAAGCGTAACCATCGCATATCCAAGATATCAACTGGAGAAAGTCCTTCTTCGGCCTTAACGCTTCCATCCGTTTCACCAGACTTTTGCTTTGTGTTTTGTTCAGTGTGCCTCCGGTGTTTGCGCTGCACTTTGTGGAGGGGATGCCCTACAGCGATGTTGGAAGATACGACTTCACCTTCAAGGAGAAACGCTACTCCGTCACCACCGTCATACAGTACAACCATCAACTTAAGCACTTTGTCGCCTGGACTTGTCACTCTGACGGTAGGTTTCCTGTTGTAGTTTTGTTGTATGTTTCCACTGATATGACACGTAAACAATATATTTACCATTGAAATGTAGGGACGTCCATGATTAGAGAGCAATTAATACAATATGTAGTGGTTGTATCTATTCAGGACCATATTTAGCTCTAAAATAATGCCGGTTATCACAGTAGTTTTACATGGATAACAGAACTGAATCAGAACGGCATGTTTCTCTGTATTCATCTTAAACACTTAAGCTTAGTTTATACTCGCTATTTGCATGTCTAGGGATTATTCAAAGAAGGCCAATTCCCTTTTAGATGCTTCAGAAACAGGTGGTCTTAAAAGTCTTCATCGTCAATGAATATGAGATGTGAGTTTACAGGTAATTATAATCCCTCCTCGGCATTGTGGAGGTTTGTTTTTTGGTGTTTTTTTTTGCCAGTGACACTACAGTCTATGGGCATATCTATGGGTTACACTCATTCGTTTTGATTCTTCACAGTTCATTTTGTTTGTACGCCCTCTTGCGTTTCGGAGAATAATGCAGCGCATCGAGTATAAACGCGTCCGTTCATACTCGAGTCTCGCGTTACGGTGTAAACAAAGCTTGAAGCTTCAGGTTGAGTGACACGACGGTTGATATTTTTTCTCCTCTACATTGTAGTTTGCGAACAGTACATTCTGCTGGACAATTCATGCAATGTTAATGTGCAGAAGACTCCAGACATTTAGGGCTTGTTTCATTGTCCTTTATAGATCAAGCGCTCTGGGGCTTGTCAGCCAAGTTTTTTTTACCAATATTATGATTATTCTTTCAGTATTTTATCAATTCTCTTTTTAGTCTAAATTCTGTTCTGCAATCTTTATGATCTTTCCTGGTCTCAGCGAGGCCTTTTCTGACTGGTTTTAGTTCTAACCGTGTGTGTTGTCGTACCGGTTCCTTACAGGATCATGGCTGGAATACGACGACTTGAAACATCCGGAGTGTAAGACCCACCAAAAGCTCCCGGTCCCCGCTCAGGAGATGCATGTCGTCTTCTGGGAGGTGGAGGAGGATAAAGAGCCTCGCGTCTGTTCTCCCTCCAGCACATTTGCTGAATGTCCCCCGTCTAAAATGGAGATGAACCCCAGTCAAGGTGACAAAGACTTAACAGCAGAGGAGCTGTTGGCTTGCTCTCCCGATCAGTCTCTTCTGGCGTCTCACAACGACACCGACATCGTCTGTGCGCTCTCTGCATCTGAAGACTGCAGCAACATCATGGACACGACCGTCGCGGCCGACGTCGATACGTCGATAGGTTCCACAACGCTGCTCGACACCTTCGAGGGCCTTTCCCACAATGACATCATCACACTCACACTGGTAGAGTTAAAAGTGGATTCAGAAATGCAGCCTTTAAATGACGAGGAAGAAACTGAGGGTTTGAGTGTTCCCACCAGGAAGGAGATAGTTGACTCCACACCGGATAGCTCCTGCGCTGCAGTGGGCAGTGGAATGTCCCACGGCCCTGATGTTGAGCTCACCAATGCTACGTCGTCTGATTCTGCGGATGGCTCGTCCAATGATCCTACATTTGTGCCTCCTTGTAGGAGAGGACGAAGTAGAGGCGTCGGCAGATCCAAAACAGTTGGCAGACAAATGGTTAAAAAGGCAGCGGCGGCACCAAAAGCAGCACCGCCTATTTCTCCACCTGCATCTTCGGAAGCCTTTAAAGGAATCGGTAGCAAATCAGAGACCGCTGCTGCTCAGGGTGACACGCCACCTGTTGAAAACGCACAGCAAGCGTCCCCTGAGTCCTCTACAGATGCCTCAGCCCTGTCCACCGGTCAGAAAGGTCCACCAAAGCCGCCTCAGGATGCCCGCTGGTCCTTCCTGCTTAGCAAACACCCACTAAACCAAGTTCACAGGGCGATTGCTAAATGTGCCCCCATCCAGATGCCCACCTCAGTCACACGAGTCAAGCCCACTCCTCTCACTCAGTCCACGCCCAACCCTGTGAGAAGACTGCAGACCCCTGGAGGATTCTTCCCTAAACTACAGCTCCGGACAGAAGATAGTGATTGTCTCCCGCTGAAAGCTGCGGAGATGTACGGGGGATTCGGTGCAAAGAGCGCAAACACACGAAGTCCGCTCCCACTTCCTGCTGTCCTCACTGGCAAGTCAAAGCTGGTTCAGCCCATAACATCTAACCAGCAGAAATCCCTGAAGAACACGACAGTGGCGTCTGGTACGTCACCTCCTTTGCCTGGAGCGACGCGGCTTCCTGAAATATCCCACTCAAAGAAACCGAGCGGTCCGTCCTCGAAGCTTCCGCCGGGTCTCAGCGACACAGAAGCCCTCAGGTACAAGCTCATAAAGAAACTGAAGGCGAAGAAGAAGAAGCTCGCTAAGCTGAATGAGATGCTGGGTCACCAGGGGGGCGCCGGCCTCCGACCCGACAGCACCGGCCTGGGCTCCCCGAACGCGGTCACCTCCAGCACTTACGACGGCTCCATCTGCGACGACTTCCTCTCGAACCTGCTCTCGCCGGCGACGACCGCGAGCAACCTTTCACCAGACAGCACCGGCTTCCTCGAGATGCTCGCCAACGGGCCGGATGGAGCCGACCAGGCGGACTGCGGGGTCAACGCTGCCGGCGCAGTTTCCCAGACGAGCGCACCCAACGCCGAAAACTTCCTGGATGAGTTTCTCTCACAGGCTGTGGCTCAGAGACCGACTGACATGGAGACGGAGGCACTCAATGCACTTGAGCTTTTCATTTGAGCTATGGGGGAGTTGTCTGCTAGCTCCAAGCACAGATATCCGCAACCATTGCTTGGTATCTTGAGGAGAATTTTGCAAAATGCACTGTTCCATATAAAGATGCAATTTAGAAGTTTATAGTGACATCTCTCTGTATTTATGTTGCTATTCATTTTTATGGGTTAATGAAGTTCAAATGCATGTTCAGTGGTGGAGTTTGTTGAACCATAGATGACATTTGTTTACCTTAGTATGCTCAGGCATGTTGTAAATATTGTATGTTTCTGGGATGTATGAAGCAATCATGTTTGTTTGCTTTATTTTGTTATTTTGACCACTTGAAAATGTTCATGAAACGTGATTTAATAAATACTTTAGATGACTCGAGTGTTTGTTTTATGAAAAGTCATTATTATGAAATTAAGGAAAGTGTTTTTGTTTCAGCCTCCTCGTAGAGGAATAAATCATTTATATTTGTTGTGTAAATACTGAAGTGAAGTCTTTCAAGTACCTAGTTATTTGTGAGCCACAGTTTTGCACACATTACAAACTCAGATTTTTCAAAGTTAAAGTACCGATGAGACTAGCTAAGAGCTAAACTGTCTCTGATTATGACATGTATTGCAACTGAAAGATGAACAGGCTGAAAGTCAGCTTAATTTAGGGTGCATTCAATCAGACATCAAACAATCTTTACCTCATCAGTCATACCATGTGAAACATAATCTTTTAAAACATAGTTGAACATTTCAGACAGTTGATTGCAGACTCTTGGATTCAAAGAAAAAACATCTGTATGGTAAAAATGGAAGTTTGATAGGCAGTACAACTCGGTATAGAAGTAAACAAACATGTAAATAGGTGTCCTGTAATTGGACAACTTGCATTTTATCTTAATTATCTTTGCAGATTACCAAAAATGTACATAGTCACATACAATGCATTTCAAATAGTCTTAACCCAGTAGTTGTAATTGTTTGACCTAAACTATACCCAAACGTTAATAGATCAGCTAACCTGTCCTCAAGAGGAATTAACGAGCCACCCAGCGGCTCCTGTATGAAAGTTGGTGGTATGACAACTCATTATTTTTAAATACATTTAAACAGGCTTCACCACGCCCATTAACAGGTTTTAATTTTAAAATAGCTAAAACAACTGTTCCCATACCGGGAGTCGAACCCGGGCCGCCTGGGTGAAAACCAGGAATCCTAACCGCTAGACCATATGGGACACATTCCTGCTGATCGACGATTTGTGTTTTCACAAGACTCCTATACTGTTTACATTCTGTACTGTTGGGTTTCTTCTCAGATAATAATATTAGCATTGTTGCTGACATTAGTTTGCTTAAATATTGTACCAACACTGCTTTGTTTAAACCAGCTCCACAGTTAGCCAATATAGCACATCTCCTCATCTGTATTTAGAAATAGAAGACTTTTATCGTATTTAATTATGATTATTTAACACCTTGATCTAATAAAAAGCTAACGTAATAAATGAATGAGACATATATTGCATATTGCATTTCGATAAAATTCGATGTTTCGAAAACATAATTCTATTTTGAGAAATATTTTTTTTTACTTTTTGCTTTTCCCTTTATTTATGACTTATTTATGATTTTATTAATTATTGTATTTATAAAACGTATTAATTTAATAGCTGATTGTATCTGAACATTGTAACACTTGTGGGAGGTGGTAATGGCTTTAATGGGATTCATTCCATCAATAGAAAAATATCATTTCGTACAGCTTTGTTTACAACATTGAAATTGTGGAGAGATTACAGTAAAACTACACCATCACCGGGGTAAAGCCGCTGCATTACCGCTCAAAAGCACATGCAGGTGCTGTTCGACTGTTGGTAGGCCAAGTCATTGAGACAGCTTGTACAATGCTGTAATTTACTGTAGTTATACACTAAAAAACTTTTTCACAGCAGAGGGCAACATTTATTGAGTCCTTTACTTGATTATTGCATTTTCAATAGATTATACATATTCTCCACTATATTTCAGTAAAATATAAATGTTCACCATTACATTTATTTGATACTAGAGCCTTCATACAGCCTACTAGATTCTTTGAAATCAAGAATTCAGATACAAAATATATGACTAATTTATAGAATATCCTACACACCCTACACACTTTAATTACATTATGCTGCTCATTTCTCCCAGTGAAGTTATGTCTTTTTTACCTGTAATGGAATAATTTGACAGAGTGGTATTACTGCTTTTAAGTAAAAGATCTGTCCTTCTTCCACCACTGATGAAAACATTTTGACTTGCCATGAAAGGCAGAGTAAAGGTGTACTTAATAACATTAAAAGATTCCCAATGCATTGGTCTTCATAAAGGCCCCTAAAAGAGCCTCAAAGAACATAAATACACACAGTCACTGCAATGCAAATTTATATGAGTGCATCTGTGTGTAATCTCTCACAAAAACACAGAGGAAGTAGCAGGCTTGTTTGCACCCCTCTGTATTAAGCCAGAGCATCATTTAAATAAAGAGGAAGCCACAAACGAGTGTGTATGTGGGATGGAGGTAGGACGGGGGGAGTCCACGATGTCAGAGACAGATCAGCTTTATGTTTATCAGTTCACGTTCTGTAAGCTGACTGCAAAGACGTGAAAGAGAAGCTCAGCCTCTCAATCCGCCTGCTCCTACATCTGGACCGGTCATCATGTACAGCATCGTGGTGGAACACATCTACCTCCTGGTCATCGTCACCCTCATCAGCGTACTTCAGAATGGTGAGGAAAAAGCAAGAAGCATCAAACGTAGTTTTTCAAACTCTAAAGTAGTCAAAGGTGTTCAGCATTCAGCAAAGGGATGTCGTGTTGACGTTAATAATCTGTGTGTTTTAAGCATTCTTTGCCCTGAAGGTGGAGAAGGAGGGCAACTGTCAAAATATCCCCACATCTGCTTTTGAACGAGTTTGTTGTGCCAAGTAAGTACTCTTTCATACTCTTCTGTTCATCTAATGAAACATATCCCATATCTTTTGTGTTTTCTACGATAACAGTCATGAACTTTCTACCTGGTTTTACATTCCACCAAATAGAACTTCCATTGACAGGCAGCCCTCATTTGCCTGAACACTCCCATATAGGGGAAAAAGAAAACTGGCACAGAGCTCATTTGAATGCTTGCTGGAAATGGAAAACATATATCCTTCCAGCCTCTCAGTTAGGGGACTCATCGTCATGCTGTGTTAAAGTTAAAGTTGTGTTAGAGGGAATACTGCTCATACATTTACCACCTGGGGTTTGACATTTCAAACTGATGTCAAGCTCTGTTTCAAAATTTCAATCCAGGGATCATGTCCAACATAAATGCGAGCTTGTTTCTCAAGAAATGTGATGCTTAGGCTTGTTGCAAAAGCACTAAACGTTTGCCAACTCAAGAGTAACTTTACCTGACTACTTAGATTCCTCATTTCAACAATCAAACAATCAATTACTCAACTAACTGATGTGTTTTCATTAATTGATTTTCCAAAAATGTGGTTCAGTTTCAGGATTTGCTGCTTTTCACATGTTTTCTATCACTGTCAATTAAATATGATTGTGTTTTTAACCGTCGATTGGAGAATATGAATACTTGGACTTTGAGAAATTGTGGATATTTCTGACATTTTATAGGCCACTCGGTTAATCAATTAATCAGAAAAATTGTCAACAAAGTAATCTATAATGAAAATATTAATAAATTGCAGTACTGCAGATGATAATGCTTCATGCTGCATCAATTAAACGTGGTTTGACAACAAGGCTAAAGCTTGAAAGTCAAACCTAATATTTGTGACACAACATCTCAGTTATTGGTCCAGTCGCTCTATTAGTCCACGAGCAACAGTGCACTTCCTGTTTGTAAATAGGAAACACCTGAGCAACATCCTGTCTTGTATAGTAATGTGGGGATTTCAAACTTTAGCCTCTAAAATGTGATACAAATGTTTGGTCTAAACGGTATAAAGAGGTAAAAAAAAATCCAGTATTTCACATGAAAAGAAAAGTCAGAAATTATTAACAAATCAGCTTGTGGCCCCTCAGTTTGGTCTTGGAACTGTTCCGAGGTACGATGTCCTTTTGGATAACTCTCGTGACGTGTGAGATTGGAGAAGGTTTGAGGCTCTGACATTGCACGGCCCTGTGCAACACATCGTACCGATTATTGCAACGTCTTGCAACAGCCAGGAGGAGCCGACTGAGAGTGGGCTCAATTTTTCCTGGCTTCCCGTTTCAAACTCCGCTCCTCCAACGCTCCGACAGACTCACTGGGTTTTCTTGCTCATGCACTGTTTTTACAGCCACTTGTGCTCTACAGTTTTCAAAACATTTCCCAGCAGCCAAGGGGCTTGGTATCAATCTCCACGCTGCCTGTAACAGTTTGCAGATTGCTTCATAGTGACTTCCTAAAAATGCTAATTACAACCTCTTGCTTATGCACCTTCCAGCCGTAACTGCATGGATGCGTATCCCACTTTCCTGGCAGTGATGTGGTGTGCCGGTCTGTGTCTCAATCAAGGTAATCATTAATCCGTTACTGTGACACACTTTTGCCCTTTGAACAGAATACACACAAGAGATAAGTGCTCGTATTACAATGGAAGTGCAATATGTTAGATATATAAAGTCTTCCATTTTTGCATGAAAGAAAATAATGCAAAAGAAAGGGAAAGGATGTCGATTTGATGCGTAAATATTATAAAATTGTATAACCAACAAACTAAGAAAAAAACATACGTGTGCAGATACATGTAAATGTACTTCAGCATTCCAGTAAAATAATACATCAATCAAACTAATTAAATAACATAAAAACACAAAACAAAGGTTATACGGGATTCAGTTTTTTTTAATTTTTTTTTGTTTGTCATCTATTTGAAGCTCCCGCTGCCTTCGCTGGGATCATCTATCTTGTTGTCAGGCAGAAGTACTTTGTTGGATACATGGGACAAACCTCTCAGAGGTAAATGAACACAAGTAATATGTTGTGTGTGTGCGCGTGTGTTTAGAGTCACGGTCTAACTATATTGTTTCACATTTCTTCGTAGCACCCCAGGCTACATGTTTGGAAAACGCGTCCTCTTCTTCCTGTTGATGATGTGCATCGTGGGCATCTTCAACTACCTGCTGGTGCACTACTACGGCAGCGACTATAAGGAATACGTGGAAATCATCACCAGCGCCGCATCTGCTCTTCTCCTCATCCCTTAGTGCAGTGTGTGTGTTTCATGATGGCAACAACACATTTATCTTTTATCTGATGACCACTGAATTAAAACACTGGTTTTCTGTTGTTGTTTTGTAAAAGAGCATTTATTGTGTTTGATAAAAAATTAAAACTTCTCATAAAGAAATGCTGATCCTTTGGTACGAAAGTCTACAATCCTTTCATTCTGTAGTAGCACAGATTTGGACCCCTCACACAACAGTGAAGTGTGGTTAATTTACTAGCAAAAACACCTTTAAAAAAAATGTATTTAGACACAAAAGTTGCATAAATAATCTTCACGGCATATAGAATGTCTTTGTCAGTCCTTCTCAGTCGTGTCCACCCACTGAACAGAAGAAGAATCTGGACCCAACAGCGATTATAGTTACTGCAATCCCAAGAGGTAGGCCGGTCCTTCACCAGGTTACAAACAATCTGTTGCTTGAGGAAGCAGACCCAGACTCCATCAAAAAAGTGAGCGGATAAAATCCATTTTTTTCTTGCTCTCCATCCACTGCCGGCTCACGTCAGTCTCAACTTTAATGGCGACAGATATGAGCAGGAAGTTAGACAAGTGGACGAATACAGAAAATGTTTAGGTTACTATCGACATAAAAGAAGAAGAATAAGAGATACTTACATTGAATTTTCTTCTGCTGAACCCAAACCAGTGTGGGAAGTCAAAGAGGGCATCAGAATAGTATTTGAGGGTGAAGGAGGCGTCTCTCCACACAGGTTGGACTTTCATCCGTTTGTCAGTTATGATGTGGATGTTTTTCGCTGCCCATCTCTCCAGTGGTTCATTCAAGTCAATCTGATACAAGGAAAAGTCACTTTCAATACCAAAATACAAAATGTAACTCGTGAAGAGAACTGAAAGTATGTATAAAACATAAATGTAAGCGAAAGACCATTAAGTCCTTCTTACATCCACACTGTAGCTTTCCCCCCACACTGAGGAGATGGTCCGGTCCAGGCCTCTCTCCATCTGCCACTTGATGATGGGATCGTTGCCGTCTATGGACACCACAAACTGCTTCAGCACTGAAACAGGGTGGAAGAGGAAAACATGAGCGAACACAGTGAGGAGAGACTGTATGTGAAGTGGCTGTTATTTCCTCTACTCCACCCACCGCAAACATCGCAAGTTGGGAAGCCATCATGAGTCATGCCACCTAACTGCATGACCCACTTAACAGCATAGAGCTGCAAAGCACAAACTAGGTTCAACTGTAATTCATTCAGTGTTAAGGTCTTATGGTACACTGGGAGGTATATAGGCTACAGTTTAAGTTACCTCTGGCTTCGTTGGCTGCCTTTTTGTCACTCAATGAACGGTTTCCTTCGCAGGCGGACATCAGCAGATAGATCCTCTTGGACAGAAGACTCTTTCTCATGCTGGTGTACTCCCATAGATTTTGCATTTTAACCTTCCTTTTTAAAAAACAAAACAAATCAGATGTGGGTTGTTTTTTGTGTGTGCGTGTATATGAGTACATGTGTAAGGCCGTGCATCATCCCATGCAGTCTTTTTTTTTTTTTTTTTTTTTCCCCAATTCTTCCTCACCTTCCCAGAGACTTCTGGAAAACTGTTTTCCCTCTGCAGGAGTCGAAGTCATCGACGAGCACCAGGCTGTTCTCCGGGTCGCTGTGGACTCGGCACCCCGAGCAGAGGACCTCCACGGAGAAACCGTCCGGAGGATTCCTCAGGAACTCTTCCACTTCTGTCACTCTCATCCCGCTGTGCGACGGTTTGCTTGTGGTCATGGTGTCACAACTCTTGTTTTCTCTCCTGTGCGTCCTCCTGCGGTGGCGGCTGCTGTTTATATCGCCTACCTCACGTGTCACGTCTGCAGCTTTAATAACCACTGTGAAGTTAGACATGCTGACACGAGAGCACTTCCGGTTAGTTTTGGCCAAAAATAATCGTTTACGTCATTTCACAAGCGCGAACCCCACCAATTAACGTTCTCTCTTGTCTCTTAAACGTGAAGATTATACTGCTTTTGTCTGCTACATGTCACAATAAATGTAGTGTAATTGAGATGAATAGTCCTGATGTTAGCAGTTAATCTTTTAGTCGATGAGAAGTTTATTTTAAATTTAGCAGTTTTGAGAACTTACAAAAAGTTTGTATTATTTTAGATTGTTGTAAGAAGAATATCTTTATGATTTTATAGTATAGGTCATACATTGATGAGGACATCAATTTGGCATTTTTCACTATTTTCTGACATTTAATGGAACAAACAATTAATGAATTAAGTGAAAAAATAATAGTCTACATAAAGCAATGTCAGTCAAATAAATGTTGCTAAATTCAAATGAAATGATGCTGTCCCGATGTTACAGATGTTGTACTTGATAGGGTGTTTGAATAAAAAAGAGATATAAATATATTAGTAATGTCTCAGATATCTAATGCTTCCTAATAATGTTGGTCTTTTCTTAAAAGTAACTTTATTTTGAAGGAAAATATATTAACTTCTTTCTTTAGTATGCATCGCATGACGTGTAGTATATGACACAGGTCTCAAGGATACTTCTGAGGACTTAATCAATTTATCAAGGCTCATTTCATGACTGGTTGGCTCTAGTCTACATATATAGGCCTGCAAGCGGGCTACATAATGCATAGGCATAAGTAAGTGAGCAGATAATGTAAATGATAATAAATAAATAAAAAAGATATCCATATATAAATGAGAAAGCCAAGTTGAAAAATATTGTTCCAATTTATGGACATTTTTAATGACAATGACACTGGAATGCACAACGTTAGCCACTTGACATGGAAACAACAGCCGATGGACGCAGTTTAAAACATGAGTGAAGCTTTGTGTCGCAATGACAACATCATTTGCAGTTCTTATCCATAAGCAATGTTTGCTCAGACCTTTTAGAGGAACATGTGTATTAACAATACCTTTGTTCAGCAATCTCACACAGGGAGAGACGAAAAAAATCCATAACTCACTTATGGCTCTGTTTTATTGCTGCCTATAACTGTTTGACAAGGTGATAGTACCCATTTGTGTGAATGTGAATAATAGCAGCCTCTCCTTCTGCACATTCAGTATTTACACCTTCCTCATTCCTTATTCCTATAGAACAAAGCTCTGCCTTTTGGATTTCTAAAGGTCTGTTGACAAAAATATGAACACTCACTGCTGCGGGTTCACATCAAAACCAGCTTGTTTAACTTTAGTGGCCATGTTTAGACTCAGTGGTCAGGGGAACTTTGACTCATTTGTTCTCAATGTCTCCACAAGTCTGCACGTGAACATAAATCATCATTTCAGCCTCATTTCTGGGAAGCTCTTCCTCATATGACATTTTAAACAATGCCTGCCCTTTAAACCCTTTAACCCTTTAAACAATATAATTTTCCAGAAAAACGCAAGCTTAGTAAAGCTCATAAAGTCCAGCTTATCTTTATTTGTTTATCACCTTTTTTCTTCTTCTTAGTTATCTTCTCCTCAGACAGACAGTAAGAGCTTTGTGGCACAACTTATACCTCTGCCATGATAATGAACATTTTTCTTTTGTTTGCGTGAGTAAAATACAGATATTTTGAAAAATACATATTACAAAGTTAAGTGTTTGATTACCAGCATCAATCAGTCATGTTTAGACTAAGTTATTGTTCTCATCACTTAATCAACACAGAAATAACTTTTTTTCGTCTGTCCACGGTTTACTAAGAACCTCACAAATTTAAAAACATTTTTCTAATTTACTTCTGAAATGATAAAAAACTTGAAGATATGATGAATGTATTTGTACAAATCGTAAACACAAATGGCACTGGAGGGAAGATTAGTTTTAGTTGTGGAAGATGTTATATAGTTGATATGGGGTTCATAATGATATCTCATATAACTAGATTTTTAAAATTTAAAATTTTTTTAAATCTGTGGGGATTCTTTACGAAAGTAAAAATGGTGTACAGCGGCATAAAAGGAGTCATTACATGTATATGACCTTCATTTAAAATGTTATTTGACATAGATTTACATTTTTATTATCTACACAATGTAGGCCTACTTGTAATAAGAAATATATATGTGTGTGTAATATATATTTATCAGTTTTTATATATTATATATTTATCACAATTAAATAATTACCTTCTAGGTAAAAATAGGCTAAATGTCGAATACCTGCAGTGAGGTAATTGCTCTGTGTAATGTTATAACGGAAATAACAATGATTAAATCCAAGAATTTAAAATTGTACTTAAATTTGTGATGGTCCACAACTGAAGGTAAATAAAACTGTCCTACTTGATGCCAATTTACTGTGCATAAAAATGAAGAAAAAGTGTCTGTTAGTATAACTTACATTATATGTTTCATTGAATCAGAATAGCCAGGACAGAATATTACCTTAGTGTACTGTAGCACAATAAACTACAGTTCTGTATGTCAAGGTAGTAACCTAGTATAATAGTGACCACTAGAGGTCACTATAGCTCTGCACTAACACGCTTTGCAGTCAGACACAGAGTTCTGCTACTATGGGAATGTAGCTAACCATTTCCTCCAGTTAGCCATGAAAAGACGGTGATTTCAAACGTAAAACAGCAGCCAAGGGAACCATGTCCCATCATAATGTGGTGAACGGATGCAAACTGGTCGCTGTGCTTCTTCTTTGGCTTGGTAAGTGGGGTCCATGCCCTACTGAGACAGATACTGTTAGCTAAACCGTTAGCACTAAACAGGATACACTGCGTAAGGCAGGCTGTAAAATACCGGAAGTGGTTCGATTTGGCCTTCACAGTAAGGTTTGTTTATAATTTAACAAGACACTGAGCGCATTTCAGTTTGAAAAAAATGTATCAATAGATGTATTTATACGCAAATTACCACGCGAGTTATTCGTCAGTGACAGCGTAGTCCTTGGTTTGCCACAAAATATTGAGTATTTTGTTTTATTTTGAAAATCTAAACAGACGGGGATTTAATAGTGGATAACTTGACACACCACAAACGCAGGTGACGTAATAAGGGGGTAAACAAGAGGCTGTTTAAAGGGACAATGTGTAAGATTTAGTATAATTTAGAATAAGTGTCACCTTGTCTTTGAAATCAATTGTGAATAAAACTTGCAGGTCATTTACATCAATATAATTGTTTGCCATTAATATCAGCCAGCAATCATGTAAAAATGAGAAGCCCTGTGCACCCATTAATTAGGACTCTGCTCAGATTTATGATGGGCGTTTAATATGTCACCAAAACTCTTGATTTACATTACTGGTGAGTGATTAAGGTGCAAGTTGTCCTGAGCTAACAGGAGCAACACATCTAATGGGAGGTTGAGGGAAATGTCAATCAAACACAGTCTGTACAGGCCAACAGAGTCCTGAGAAGAGGTCTAATCAAAGTAAGTGAAAACACCTGTGGGGGTGTGACATGGGCGTAAACGTGTAACCTGTTTCAGACCTGGATTTATAATAAAATGTTTTAACAAACGCATATATCATTAGTATTGTCATAGACCTTCATGTTATCACTATAGACCCCTTTCACCTTTTATATGACATGTGACAGCTGCATGTTATACACTTTTACGGCTTTAATGGGGCTCTCAATCATTCATGTTATTAATTACACTTGTGTTGTTCCTGCCATAACTGTGAAAGAGGCCTTTTGGCTGATATTGGGGTACATATATTAACAATGTGAATATATACTAAAACCAGATATGTATCACAACGGTAGGTATCCTGAATGAAATTTAATTTTCAATGTTGTTTATTTATTTTTTCCTCCTATAGCATTACAGCTCTATACCCATACATAAGCACTTGTTGGTTTGTTTTCCCCCTTGGTGGTACACATACAGTGCTTTCTATATAGATAGAGAACACATAAAATCAGCCAGATTAATTAAAATCACCTGTGTGAGTGACAGTGACAGTTCAGCCTCTTTCTCACCTCAGTTTGACAACTTTCAGAAGCAGTTTTGGTGGTTTCATCAGGAGAAATTCAACATCTCCAGACCAATCTTCATTGTTTTCCAGTTTGAAAACTAAGCGAGCGATGCCTGTTTTTTCCAGCCTAGGTATGAAAAGTGTTCGTTTAGATGTCAGGAGGATTTCATCATTTACAGCTACATCAAGCCTGTCTCAGATACATTTCTAATGGACTTTAAAGAACGGCACAATTGCACCTCCCTGCCATATGTCTACCCTTGGCATAGATGGACATGCTTATACATCATCATTATACTTGTCGACTCTCATGAGTAGGACATGTTTACCACCACAAATCCTACATACCGAGTAGCAACTTTAGCTGTGGTTTCAAAGTCTCGGTTTTATCTCGTTGATGGTGATAAGAGGTGTTGGTGCAGAAATAACTCTACTACTGCGTTTAATCTGCTACTGGTGGGGCTATACCATTGCATGTCATGCTCTGACAGATGTGTCAAGATGTTAAAAGTTGGCATAGTGGTAACCCGATATTGATCCATTGGTCGTCAAATTGACTAAAAGATGAATTGGCTATTCATGTCAGCATAACAAATGAATGCATTTTGATGATGTAATGTTGCGTCCTTCTCAAGGTGCCTCTGCAGAAGACAAACCTACAGGTCGTGCTCATGTAAGTGCACCCCCCCCCCCCCCTCAGATTCTTGCTGTGATATTCTGCTTCATCACGTGAGCTCAGCAGTGTGCGTCAGACTTAACGAGAATCCCTCTTGACTCCCCGCAGGCCTCAGAGCCCCAGGAGCTCACACCACACAGCTCTATTGGTGAGTGAGGGATTTAACTGCAGACGGTCTGTTCAGGAAAGCAAATCAATTATTTGTTGCATATTGGAAAAAAAAAAAGTCATCACTGTGAGTTTTACCTGTCAAGAAAACAAATAAGTGTATTTCACAAATTCCCTGTTTTTTTGCATCATCATGTCTCTTCGAATTTCCTAATTTTGTCATCGCTCTAGCTTTTCTGTGCATGTTTTTCCTCAGGATTGTCGGACGTGGTGTTGGTGATCCAGAGTCAGAGGAACTCCTTCCACGCCCGCCGAGGTGGTCAGAGGAAGGTGGAGATTCTTCAGCAGGCAGCTGAGCTGGGACAGGTAACATCTGGCAGGCACTGGATGAGTTGCTGGGTTTAGATCTTGGCTCTGGGTCCTGTTTCAGAAAGCAGGTTTAACAAACTCTGAACCTGAAGCCTGAACTCTGAGTTGACTAACCTTGAGATGGGAAAATCAGAGTTTTCAGGTTCCAGAACATCTAATCAGAGTTTGTTCACTCCGAGATAGCTTGTGGGCGGTGAATGTTCAAACGATTCACCACTGGAACAGGTTAATAACAGGCAGAACCTCCATTTAATCCAGTAGATGTTACGATATTAATGCTTGTATATACGGACTGTGCACGTTTCTTTGAAAATAAAGCCTGAGAGCAAGCGGGGAAAAGAGTCAATAAGATAACACAATACTGTTTTATTCAGTATCCATTAATTCATCAGTTACCAGACCGACATTTCCTAACTGGATGATGGATTATAAAGTGGTCTAAAAATCTAATCTGCATTTCATTTTGAATGGATTTGTTCATGTGGTGCCTTCAGATAATATAAATTATTTAGTAATATTAAAGCTTGAGGCAGATTTTCAAGCAGCAGCTCTGTTTTTGTTTGGGAGCACCATAAAGGGCTCAAAAAGGCGGTGCATATGTCTACTATATGCATGCAATGTGGCGTGCGTGCAATAACAGGATAATAATGCTGTGGATAGTTTAATCTTTAATGTGTAATCAGTGACTTTTGGAGTTTGACTTCGAGTTCCGCACTGCTGTGGTATTACAGTGGTACCGATAGGTGTCCTCCTTGCCACAGAGCTCCCTTACCTAAGCTGAGAGGAACTGAACTCTCTGCTCTCATGACATATGACAGCCTGCAGCAGATACCCAGAATTGTTGTTTTTATACAACATATGTAGTTAGTTTTTTTACATTCACAATGATTTGGTAATGATCATGTTTCATAGTCCCTCAACCTCTCTCTGAGTCTTTGTCGTCTTTGTTAAGTGAGGAGACCTCTGCGATCACACTGCAGCCAGTAGTAACAAATGTGGTGTGGCAGCTGGAAGAACTCACACGTGCCTTGTTTGTGAACACATCAGTGAGTCACCAGCGACAAAAGTGGGAACTGTGAATTAATTTGATATGCCTATGATTGCTTTGTTTGAAGCCAGTTGGTGGTTGGAGGTGTTTCCGCACCAATTCCTACCCGAGAGACAGAAAAGAAGAAAATGCAGTTATAGTGAGAACGCCGAGAAGCCTCAGTTTAGCTCGATGGTTATGAAATGCACACAAAACAAACTCCACGTTCATAGTTTGTTAAATGTTCTTCTGAAGAGCATTCATACACTATACTAAAAAACACATATGTATCCCCCCCCCCCCCCCTCACTTTTCTAAATCCTATTGTTTCCCCCCAGTTTGACAGCTTCCCTTTGACTTACTCACAGCCTCTTATTGTCATTTCTTCTCAGTCTCTGACTGGACCGGTGGGTTGTTCGTACATTGCCTTTTCCCTAAAGAAGTCTAATTTAATTAAGTAAACGATCTTCTGTTGGCCTAATGTTCAAGAAAACAATTGCTTTATTGTGGGGATCCTTGATTTGCAATTAGAGCAGCCGAGTTGCAGATTTGTCAGCTTCAAAAGTAGGTTCCAAGATTAGTAATGCTGTTTACGTCAAGTCACTACCCTACCCATCTTTGAGTTATGCAGTCATCCTCCACATTTGTTGCGTTGTGGTTTCAGAATGATGAAGGCAGCTGAAGAACAGTTAGACACAAAGTAGGATGGAGGCTCTGGATATTTTATTCCTTGCCAACGAGGACGTTTCCCAAATGAATCACAGATTTTAGGCATTCTGTAAAACAGTGCATATAGCTGCTGTGCATGGGGAAAAAAACTAACCTGGCGCGCTAGGTTTGGGCTGTTTTCAGTTACTAGTGTGCGCACACAGCAAGAGTTTTTTTTAATGAATAACAACGTTTTTGGATTTCGCCTCCTGCGCTCCAGCCAATACTCTCAGATTGTTTTCGTGGACCTGTGCAGCCTGAGAGGAAGTTGGAGACATTTCTCATGGAGGAAAAATGACTGCTCTGCAGGTTTTCTTGGTAAATTACATGTTTTTAGATTTCCATTCAGTATTCCCATCGGAAGATGCTGGAATAAACCACCAATGACTGATTAATCGGTAATGCACAGCGGCCTTTTAGAAGAGCTGTAATATGATCAATAATTAAACGTCAGATCAATATAACTGGCTGTGATTATAAGTATTATTAGAGCATTAACAATTCAAGAGAAGCATTATTGATGTAAAATTTAAAAATTCTCCTCGTAGCACTCATTCATAAATGATCATTCACTAAAACGGCTGTCTCACAACTGAATGAATGAATATTTTTGTGGGAATAGAGAGAGGTGTCAAATATAAGAATGAATATGAAATCAGACTTGCATGCTGTGAAAGCTGCTACTGCGAAGAGAGAAGTTTCATGATCAGCACGGTAAGATGTGTACAATCATCTCTGCGTGTGTGTGTGTGTGTGTGTGTGTTGTGTGTGTGTGTGTGTGTGTGTTGTCACAGTGAGGTAGTTAAGTGAAAGCTTTCTCTAGATGTGACGTTTATAACAGATTGACTTGATTGTCGTAAGCGGTTTTGAACGAGGGCAGGTTGTGCGTCACGCACGCTTTTGACTGACGTATAACCAAGTGTTTTTACTGGAGGCAGGGATTAAAGGTCAACTCTGACATGGTGGCAGCATGTTGTCTGACTGACATGTGGCTGTTTTCTACATCATCGATTTCGGTCGTGATGCCGCCAAAATATGAGCAGCAGTGTCTCAGTTTTAATGCTTTGTTTGCACAGATTCATATCCGCATCTTTTCCACATCCTCCATTTAATGGGAGAGATAAACAATTTTTTTTACAGCCTTGTCACACGGCCCTGTTGCTACTGGCCCTAAGTGCAGGCTTTTAATCCGAGACATCAGTGCCAATGCTGCACATTTTCAGCCTCATCATCCAACCTCCATCATAGAGCTGCTGCTCCGCTCAGCTCCTTTCACCCACATCTTACTACGACGCATACAGCAGATGGTTACTACCCCGTTTCACAGCCTCACAATCTGAAGTGGACCTGAGAAGAGGTGTGCTTGCATGTGAACTTTCAATGTGTGGATGTCTGATTGGACATGATGTAATGTACTGTTTTGTGATTATTATTACATGTGCTGTAAATGTAATTACACTACCAAAACTAGAATATCTCAACACCTGTTCGATGGACTGCCAAGGCATTTCGTATGTTCATTCATGTCCCCTCAGGTTGAATTGTAATCATTTTGGTGATACTTTTTAGTCTAGAGTAATCAAGTTTATTTGTTTATTATTTGTATTCTTACTATGGCTAGAGGATGACTATGAAAGATTCTTTCTTTTATCTTTTTCTAAAGTCTGAAATGTCACTTTTATCAGTTACACTTATTAGGTACAGCACAGCCTGCTTAGACTAATGTAGTCTAAACAAATCCTGCCTTTTATGAAGGTTATAATAATCAGTACTTGTTGAATCCGTTTTAGCAAGGTGTTGGTTGAGTCGTCCTTTTGAAGGTTGCCGTTTGTGGTATTTTTATTATTTTGTTCACCCCATTTATACCAAGGAGGATGGGCTAGATAAAAAAAACCTCTCTGATGATGCAGTGCAATGTGTAGATAAATTACATTACAGCCCTGTTGTATTGACGTAATGCTGCCGTTTCAGTCGCCTCAATTAGAACTCTGCGGTCTCGCTCTACTTACATTAATCCTTACAGCTGTTGTCTCTGTCAGCGCCTCGAAGAATAGCTGCGTGGACGAGATTTGTGAGTTCTTCCGTATGAGTCACTTAGAGAGGAGGAGGAGGTCATAAAACAGGAGCCTCTGAATCAACCCCTTCATTCAGCCTCTTTTTCAGCATGCCATTGTCAGAACTACAGCCAAAACTCTATGAACCTCCAAACAGCACGCACAGCAGGATGCGCATAATGTTGGTACTCAACATGTTGTTGATCAAGCCCTCATCAGTCCACGCCCACCAGGATGTCCAGGTGTATTTGGCAGATCATGTCAGTGGAGCATGTAATCATGTTTCCTCCAAGGAGGTGCTCAACATAGTGACTTCTTGTTTCATTTCGCAAGGAATAAGGAATTTTAGAACAAAGGAATAGTGATGAATACTTTTGGGAAACCTCCAGGAACACTGGAGCAAACCGTACTTACTATTTTTTGTACTTCTGTTCTTTTTTGTTTTGTGCACAACGTGCCAGTTGGACCTCATTGTTGTTTACTTAATTTTACTCTCATCTCCCATCGATCAGGAGCACACACACAAACACACACATTTACACACACACACACACACACACACACACACTAATTTTCAAATTCAATTGGAGTACTTCTGTTCACACAAGTACTTCTGTTCTTTTTTGTTTTGTGCACAATGTGCCAGTTGAACCTCATTGTTGTTTACTGAATTTTACTCTCATCTCCCATCAATCAGGTGCACACACACAAACACACACACACACACACACACACACACACCACAAACTCATTTTCAAATTAAATTTGTTTGTCTCATGCAGGGAGTTCCAGTTGTTCTTCTTCTCCATGAGCTGTCAGAGTTTGAAGGGGATTGGAGTATCCTCCCTTTGCTCCCTAAGTGAGTCTTATAGATATATGTGGAGATGACAAACAAATCAGATTTAATTGAATTTAGCTGCAATGACTCCTGTGGGGTGAAATAAATGCATAAAGTTAACGAGGTCGTGTGGATCTTTCCAGTCTCTCTGCTACTTATGGCCAATCAGCATCCTGGTTTTTCTTCATAGAGGAGGAAACCAGCGTCTCACTGCCTAATCTGCTGCAGGTCCTCCAAAGATATCAAGTCCAAGAGGTGAGATGCACCCCCCTTGACAGCCACTGACTATGTTTTATACTGCACTTTTTGCCAAATGAATGTCTTGATGATGATCTAGTTTCCTGCACTGATGCCTAGAAAATAACTGAGCCACTTTCTTTTTTTATATCACCCTGCCCTGTGCACCTTTTTGCAACTCCAAGGAATGGTTTTTGGGTAAGCTTCTCCATGACAACGAGCCTTCCATTATCCACCACTATGCGTTCTCTGAAGACCCCGGTTCCTTTAGTTACCCTGACCCTGCAGCAGGCTGGGCTCTCAGCACGCCTCTGCTCCAGAGGTGTGTGTGTGTGTGTGTGTGTGTGTGTGTGTGTGTGTGTGTGTGTG